TTTTTTTTTTTTTTTTTTTTTTTTTTTTTTTTTTTTTTTTTTGTTAAATAACACAAAAATATTTGCTTCACCAAGATAGGAATCACTTATTTGGTATGATACTGTCACTTTCAGAATAATCTCTCGTGGTTTTGCTTTGGGCATCCCCTTAAGGCTTCACACGAATGAATATAGTATTCATTGATTATAAACTCATGATCATTCCTTGAATCAGCTGACTTTTATCCAATAGAGTTGTTCGAATAACTTAAGAACCCAACTAAGAATGTTTGATTAATCCACCTCGTCTAAATGGTGTGAAAGTTATCTTATTTATAATCATATAAATTACAAGGATATGAAAATAGTAATAAATTGAAAGATAACAATGGTAATAAGACAAATATTAGATATTTGCTTTATAATAAAATATCAAATATAATATATATGATAAACTATAATTTATTACTAAATATCCTTAACACCCCACCGCAAGCTAAGCGTCGGATTTAAACGAACCTGAAACTTGAATCTGAAAAATTCAAAGAGGTTGAGAAACACTTTTCGTGAAGATTTCAACAACCTAGTTCAGAGAAGGCGTAGAGAAACACTTCTTTGGCCATCGAAAATTGCAGAGGGATCGTCGCTCAACAACAATGCTGCCTTGGCTTTGGCGAGAATATGTCCAACCCATGAAGAGGGATTGTCGCTTAGCGACGATGCTGTCTTGGCTCTGGTGAGAATATGTTTAATCCCAATAAGTAGAAGGGGAAACCTAGAGCAAATGATAAAGACAATATTGAAGCCGGAAGAGTCGCCACATTGGGCGAAGGAGACAATTTTGCAGGAAGGGCGGCGGCAACTTGGTTGGCAAATAGGCCAGTTTGGCACCCAGATTCCGAAGGTAAATCTTTGCAAAAGGTTGATGGGCTTGTCGAGATTCCGTATATTTCCTCATCCTGAGATTAGGGTTTTTGTGAAGGATGAAGGGTTGATTGGGAAGAAAATGTGAGAGACTATATTGGCCAAAGGGGAAACTGATTGAGTTGGAAAATGTGAGGTTGTATGTACAAACGAAAGGTGATTTGGAGGTCAATAGGGTGGAGCCGAAGAGTAATCAATCGGTTCCACCTGCGGCAACCATGAAGACTACCCCTGCGATGTCAAAGCCAGTAGGGGTGGTGGAGAAGAAGATTAGAGGATTCAAAAGCCATTGAAAAGAAAGGATCGGGTTGTTAAATCGAGAAGTCTATGATACCATAAGAATGTTTGATTAATCTACCACACCTAAATAGTGTAAAATTTATCTTATAACTAATCCCGACTATCTAATCCAAACCATAAATATGGGTCAATTTATAGGTTGATTTTTTTTTTTTTGTCAGAACTTTAAAATTATTATGAAAATTAATAATATTTAACGTTTGTAACAATTGTTAATGATGCAGTATGAAATTTTAGTTATTAATAATAACATGTATTATTCAGAATAGAGGTTGTAAACTATACTTAGATTGTTTGAGTCATCGACCCATTCAAAATTCATAACTTTATAAATTACCAAATATAAGGGTAAAAGTGTCCATTATATTTTTTTTTTCAATATCCCATCATTAATAAGTAAATATTAATTTAATGCAGAAAGTATTACTTGACAAGCCACGTGTCATGATGTGGTGAGACCACGGAACTAAGGGGCAGAATCGTGGCTGAGGATTCATCCACGTCATTCAATTAAACCCTTTAAGTCTCTTTAAACAAGTGATTATTGGCTTAAGCATAATTTAATGATTTTCCATAATTGGGAGTTTTAAAATTAAGTCTCATCCAAGGTAATAATACAACCGGCAGCTGCCTGTCACTTTCTTTTTCTTTTTTTTTTCTTTTTTTTTTTTAATTACAAAATTTAAAATTTATTTCTCCCCACGTACCGTGACGAATTATGATTTTGACCATTTGATTTGTTATTTTCATTGCATGAACAAAAGTTATCTCTTCAAATAATTACTCGTACCAACTCGAATAAATGTCATTTATTCTCGAGATAATATGCAACTAAATGAAATGTTATTGGCCGACCATTAAAAAGATTAGGTTGAAGGTATTTTTCACCGTAAAAACAAATCAAAACAAAATAAACTTTATCTTATTCGACTCATTTCAATGTAAAGTTATTATTGACAGTCAATTTCTTTTTTCAGAAAATATCAAATTACTATAATGATATGAGTCTTATCGAACAAACAAAAATATAATTTTTTTTAATATTAATAAGATTGATTTTGTTGGTATTTGAGTAAAGATAAGTATTCTTGTCCTCGTTGGATATACAAAACAACAAAGGACGACAAAACTTTATTGGATTCGTAATATTTTTTAAAAAAACATAATTTTACTATAAAAAAAAATAATTATAAACGTCCAGATTAGAGTGAATTCAAAATAATCAGATTTTTTATTTATTTATTCAAAAATTTATCGGTTAAAATCTCCACGAACAAGCTATGACTTGAGCTGGTTATCACTCCATTTAATTTCTCTTGATATTACGACAACTTTTGGTTGAAGTAATCACTAGAAATCGAGGTGGATATAAGGAAAACACATACTACTAGAGTTGTGAGATTTTATGAGTTTCGGGTTTAAGATTTTCGTGGCCTAATTCTCCTGGTATAATTAATGATTTTGGCCGAAACTTGTCTTGTCTGATTTGTTTTAACCGTGACTTGTAAATTGTGAAAGGAATTGGAGTGATTCGTGAAGAAAGCTTATCATCAAAGTTAAAGAAAACACAAAACCGAAAGAAAATCGAAGGGAAAGATCCGTTTACCAACTCAACTCGACCATCTAGAAAAAATAATACTTTTAAAATTATTATGAAAATTAATAACCGACATGATTTTAATTATTAATATAATTAAGTATGATTTATTTAAATAATTAAAAAAAATAACTCCATTGTAAACTTAAATTAATAGATTCTTGAAAATTTGAAATTTTTTTAAAATTAATTCATATCGTAAATATAAATATAAAATTTATGTTTAATAAAACTTTTGAATTTTCATAAATTAAAAAAATAAATAAATCATGAACGAAATTTGCAATTTAAAAAATTTAAAAGACCAAATTAACACAAAATTAAAAAAGGGCCCAAAATAGATATTAAATAAGCCCAATAAGGTTGAAATGGGCCTATTTGGTAAAACGGATAGAATATGGCATATTCCTCACCGTGTTATTCTTACCCGCCCTCGCCGAATTTTAAAATCACAGACCAATTACCTTCCGTTCCTTAATCGAGATCAGGGGACAGTTTTATACTTTTTTATCTTAATTTAGTTTCAAAGTGTTGCATTCTTATTCTTTATAATCATAAGTTTTAGAATTATATATATATTATTTCATTAATGTTTTTTAGTCATTGAATTTGATTTCCATCAATTAATTTAATTATTATAATATTGAAAAATTGGGGACAATTAATTAATTTAAATAAGTTAAATTAGTTAATAAAAATTTACATAAATGACTATAAATATTAAAACTGAAAATCGAACACAAATATGTAAAATTTTTGAAATTAATTGATCAAATAAAAATGAAAGTTAGAGTAAAATTATAATATTTTGAAAGGTAAAAAAACAAATAAAAATATTATACAAAAATTAAAAAAAAAATAGTTTTTTTCAAAAAATTATTACATAAATTTATGTATTATCTTTCACTCGTAAATAATATTATAATATAAAATTTTGAAATATAAAAAATAAATAAAAACTAAATCCAAAACTCATTGATTTTTTTTTTTTTATCAAATTAAAAGAATTAAAACTATATTAAAAATTAATGAACAAAATGTAATTTTTAAATTTTTAAAATTTTAATTTTTTTAATGGTTAACTAATTTATTTATTATCTGAGTCTGGCGCTCATCTCATAAATGAAACAAAGAACAATATAAGTATTGATATTGAAAAATCAAAGTCCCACGAGACTCGCTGATCTGCTCTTTCTTCGCCTCCTTACTTCCGAATCTCCATTTTTCGTGCTCCTTGAGCTTCAAACCTTACTCCAAGGTTAGACCCTCCTTGTTCGATTTCCATTAATCTTCTTCTTTCCCTGTTCTTTAATGTTGATTTTCTGATTTGGGGTTTCTTTTTTTTTAAGATTTGTAATCTTGCCTTTGTTCGAGGATGAATTTGACTTTCTTAGCTTTTCTAGATGTGTTTCCGTTTCTTCTCTTGTTTATCTTGCTTTGCATTTGAGGTATACTGTGTTTTATTTTTTTTTTCTAAATTTCTTTTGATTGTCGATTTCTAGGGCGTGTTCATTTCGGATCTAATTGTGTGGAACCCTAATGGTATCTGTTGCTTTGTGTTTCAATTAATTGGTGGAAACCCTTTGAAGGTTTTTTTTTGCTTCCAGGATCCCGAATGTTCAATGTATTGGGGTTATTTTCCCATCATTTTCTAGAGCTAATCAACATTCAACATGCATATTTTTGTGGATTTTATACCAAAAGTGCAAGGAGTTGAATAACTTGTATGGGTCATATGCAGATATTGGAGGTTTTAATACTCAATGGACGGTATAGGAGGTGAAACTGCCTCAGCGGCAGCACCATTGAGTCAGTGGCAACATGATATTTCAAGGCTTTATCAATATTATCTGGATAAGACTACCCCACATACTGTCTACAGATGGATTGGAACCCTTTTTGTAGTGGCAATTTATGCTTTGAGGGTCTACTATATTCAAGGGTTCTATATTGTTTCATATGGTTTGGGTATCTATATACTCAATTTGTTGATTGGATTTTTGTCGCCCTTGGTTGACCCGGAGATGGAAGTTTCGGATGGACCGTTGCTGCCAACTAAAGGTTCAGATGAATTCAAGCCGTTCATTCGCCGACTTCCAGAGTTTAAATTTTGGTAACTAAGGAACTTTGATCATGAGCTTTTGCATCATTTACCTATTTGTATTTGGTTGGTAAACTTTGAAGCTTGCTTTTATGTCATTTCGTCAGTACAAATCCGATTTTCAGTATTTTGTATATCTATTGTGTCCGGTCTGGGACTGAGAACTTTTCTAATATTGGTTCCTTTGGTCAGGAAATGACACAGTGAGGTGTGCATTATTTGGTTTTCTGGTGAAAAAATCTGTGTGCATTTAGTAATCTTCATTGTGATCACTAATCCTTTGGTGCTTGTTGATCGGCTTTGCTCTTTATGCATGTGGAATGTTTGACATCCCGACATGGTCATGCTTCTTTTTCTGGCACCGTCCTACAGCTTACTTACATAGTTCATATCCCAAGAATTAGGATGTAATGGAACAGGAAAATGCATTTTCCTTTGGGCTTAGTAATTTAAACTAGACAGGGAAGAGACGGTTATCATTTAGAAAAAGTTCGGCTACATATTTGTTGGTTCTCATTTAAATTTTGATGGTTTTTGAAGAACCTAGTCTCATTGGGACTTTTTAACTTTTAACCCTTTTCTCTATTTAGTTTCTGTTCCGTTCGTTTTCTTTCTACATGCTTTCTCTCTGGATAAGGCTCCTGAACATTATAGACGTCACTCTGGAAGGGCTCTAGAATTTTAACCTCTTTAATGGGTAGTGCTCTCAAATATTGTGTAGGGGCTTTGTGAAGTAAACATATGAGATAGTTACTACTCCATTTTGCACCTTGAGGGAAAGGCCTTACTAAGCATCACCAGTTTACCCTTAAACCGAAAGACCTCCCTTGATCCTTGGAGCTTTCTCCCTTTCATTATGAATTTGTTTGGAAGAGCTCGACCAACCCTTTCAAATCATGCAAGGGTGTGACACTTGTGTTACTAATTATTCCAATTTCTTATTTGTGGAATTTGCTACGGACTTTAGAAATGTTTAATTTGCCTCATGGTTGATTGATAGTTATCGTTCCCGCATAATCTTACTCGCGTGTTTATGCAGCTCTTTTTCTGTTATATTTCGATTCTTCATTGAGACAATTGAAAAAGATTTTTGTTCTAATAGCTTAGCACACTCTTTGTTATTACTTTCGAATTTGAATGCTCCAAGTTTTTGTTCATTTCTCATATAAATGAAAATTTGTGTTTGTAGGTACTCTTTTACAAAGGCCTTTTGCATTGCCTTCGTAATGACCTTCTTTTCCATATTCGACGTGCCCGTCTTCTGGCCTATCTTACTTTGTTACTGGATTGTCCTTTTTGTGCTGACAATGAGGCGTCAGATTTCACACATGATCAAATACAAATACATTCCATTTAGTCTTGGAAAGCAGGTGCCTCACGAATTACTTCTTATACATACCGTTTATGTTTCTCCGACCTTATAATGCCGTGATTTACAAATGTAGTTAGAGTTGTTAGTCTTGCTTTTGACATATCTTCTGTCAATGAAACAAATATTCATACAAAACATTTGATAATTTACAGAAGTACGGTGGGAAGAAACCTTCTGCAGGTAGCAGTATCTCCAACAACGATTGATTCATGGCTCCCTATTATTTACAGCAATTAGTGCAAGTACTGGAGGGAGGAAGAAATTAGAGATTTGGATATTCATAGTAGCAGCAAATTTTTTCATTGAAACTTGTAGTTAAGTTTGCATATGGATTTACATCATTGATGATATGATGCACAACACATGGCTATGCCAAATCCTTTATGATAACTGAAGAACTGCTGTTGTAGAAATTCCCAGTTTAATACCGGTTCGTTCGTTTGTTCGTTCTTCGCAGGATGCCATTTGAAATTTTTGTTTCCTGTTTTCGATTCCCCCTCCCACCCTTTTTTTTGCCCTGCTGTGGAAAATTTAAGCTGATTGTTGCAGTGTTCTTGTAGAATTCCCCAATCATGCGTGGGTGGGAACTTTGTGTGATTATATTGATGATGTTGTTGAGAGTGTTCATTTTGTAAGAACAGAGTCATGACTGAAGGTGAATGCATCAAAAAAGGCAACAAAATTCTTTAGAATTGTCTTTTCTTTGTAGATAATTATGTATCACGAGATGAAGTCTGATGCACGATTTTGAATGAGAGAAAGAAGTGATGAATCCTCTTTTCGGCTCTGACTCTTCCAGTCTAGTCGTTTATTTTCTTTCTGTTACTTTGAATGTAGTTATTTTAGCTTCAACCTCTCGATTTTTTATTTATCATCAATTTGAGTAATGTTTGTGACAATTTATCTGAAAGTGTCATAGATTTGTGTCTCGAATCTGATCTTTCTCTTTTTCACTCGTTCTCTTTTCCGTTCCTGACTTGTACAAGTCAGTGAGAATCCACATATCTGTTTGTATCGTCGGTCGGTCGTATTTCTTTCAGCAAGAGTAAGTCTTACTTCCCAATGACAAAATAGATATGTATCTTGGCCTGCAAAGACGCTCCTTACCAACAACCCGGCGCTTCGCAGAACATATACGAGCTCCTTCTAATGGAAAAATCTAATTCAATGATGGAACCAGGACTATTTTCCCGATATTCCCTGATCGGCTACTAGAGACGAGCAAGAGCCAGGAGCCATAACTCTTAACGATGCACAAGTAATAGGTAATAGCTATCGTTTCTTTCGAAGTCTAAACTTTATAGATGACTTTAAGGGCGAGAACCTTTCGTGGGCTCTAAAGGAATTTAGGTTGAATCCAAAGCCAATTCCACTACTGTTGAGAGAGAGACTGGCAAGACTTGATCTGAATCGTAGTTCAGATTCAAGTCGGTTCAGTGAGGGTGACCGCATAATGAAGAATTGTATTTTTTAAGTACAAAATTAATATCTAAATATTAAAATTTTAGAGTTGTTATTTTACTTTAGTAGTTTCTATATAATAGTTCCAAAGGGAGAGATTAGGTTTTCATAATGATATTTATTATTATTATTTGCAATATAAATGCATAAATTACAATAACTTCCTAAATGGACTAATTTGTAAAGCGAAAAAAAAACTTATTAACCAATTAAATTATATCAACACATCACTATATTTTGTTTATAAATATATTTGGTTCTTAAATTTTAATGAAAATAATAATTTAATTAGTAACTTTAGTATATCCTAATTTAATATTAATAATTGTATCGTGTAACAATTTAGTCTTCAATACTTTCAAAATTGTAGTAATTTAATTTTTACTTCGAACATTATGATTAAAATAATTTTAATTTACGGATAATAATTTCCATTAAACACTCAGGACTAAATTATTACAAATGGAAAATGAATTTGATAATCATTTAATTATCTATTTTATGTTTTCTAAAATTAAATTCATATATAAAGTATATATCATAATTTCTTTATTTTATTATATTATTTTACGAATATTTTTAAAATTTAAATGTTTGGTAAAAAGAATAAAATAAAATAAAACAGGAAAACCCCAAAACCCTGAAGCGGTTCACTGTCTGTGTGAGCCTAATTGGGAGGACCAATAAAACCCTCGAAACTCTCACTCTTCTTCAAAACCTAAAGGCCTCTCAGCCCATCGCCGGCAATTCCTCCAACTCCCAATTCCGCCATGGGGAAGGTCAAGGGAAAGCATCGTTTGGACAAGTACTACCGCCTTGCCAAAGAACATGGCTATCGCTCTCGTGCCTCCTGGAAACTCGCCCAGCTCGACTCCAAATACAACTTCCTCCGTTCCTCCCATGCCGTCCTCGATCTCTGCGCCGCCCCTGGTGGTTGGATGCAAGTCGCCGTCGAACGGGTTCCCGTCGGTAGCCTCGTTGTCGGTGTCGATTTGGTTCCTATTGCGCCCGTTCGCGGTGCGCTCGCTATTGAGCAGGATATCACCAGGCCGGAGTGCAAGGCGAGGCTCAAGAAGATTATGAACGAGAAAGGGTGTGCTGCTTTTGATTTGGTCTTGCACGATGGGTCGCCGAATGTTGGTGGAGCTTGGGCGCAGGAGGCTATGAGCCAGAATTCGTTGGTTATTGATTCTGTCAAATTAGCTACTCAATTACTGGCTCCTAAGGGTACATTTGTTACCAAGGTGGGTTTTCTCGTTTCTTTGAGTCTTTCAATGATTCTTTAGTTAGTTTACAATCAATCAAGTCCCAGGTCTATCGTGGTTCTCAATATGAAATCTTAGGATACTTCCTTTTTTGATCATATAATGAGTCAAGTAAATTTCGTTCTTTCATTTTCCTTTAGGTTCTGCTTGCAATTTATTACATTCATTGATGAGTGGAGATATTTTTTTGGTCCTACATCTTTTTACTTCTCTCAAAACTCTAAAAGTAGACCTAAGACGAGGGATTTAGAATTTGGATGTTAATTTTGAGCTAATTGGGCTGTACTGGTGTGGTTGAACTCTTACTAGTAGACCATTTGATAGTGTGGTTGTTTATTTGCTGTTTCATTTTCAGGTTTTCAGGTCACAAGATTACAGTTCTGTCCTATATTGTCTCAAGCAGGTAAGTTTCCACACTAATCTGATGTCACGGCCATTTGTTACTGTCTATCTGATATTTGTATGCATTTGAATGGTGTTACAGTTGTTTGAAAAGGTCGAGGTGGATAAACCAGCAGCAAGTCGATCTGCATCTGCTGAAATTTATGTTTTAGGCCTTAGGTATAAGGCTCCTGCAAAGATCGATCCTCGTCTTCTTGATGTGAAGCACCTATTTCAAGGATCTGTAGAACCCCAACGGAAGGTAATTGTTGCAACATTCAAATCGAGCTAACAATTTACATGTGTGGTGTCTTATTGATGTACTCGGTTTGGATGCAATTCAACATCTCGTTAATATGTCAGTTAAAATTATTTTTTTGTGTAGGTTGTGGATGTACTTAGAGGAACAAAACAAAAGAGACATCGTGATGGGTAATCCTTCATCTGTTGGATGTGTTTACGTGTTTATTGTGATCATCTGTCATGTTTTTGCCAGTGAAGGATTATTCATTTATTTATTTGTTGTGATGATAGGTATGAAGATGGAGATATGACTCTTCGGAAAGAATCTTCTGCATCTAATTTCATCTGGTCAGATTCTCCTCTTGAGATCCTAGGAACTGTTACTACTATAACTTTTAACGATCCTGCTTGCTTGCTGATTAAGGATCATGAATTAACAACCGAAGAGGTATTGCATATTTAGCATTCGTTATTTTTTTCAAGGTTTCAATCATCAGCTGGAAACCTTATTTACTAAAAGCCTATTCTATAACAGGTTAAGACACTGTGTGATGATTTGGGTGTCTTGGGAAAGCAAGATTTTAAGCATCTGCTGAAGTAAGATTCATACCCTAGATACTTGTATTTGTCTTTTGATTTAATTTTTTTTTGGGTATCTTTCTAAATGATATTTATGTTCCTATAAATATAGGTTAATTTGTATTTCAGCCCTTGACCTTCTGCTTGATGTAATGCAGTCTTTAGATGTTGGATAGGATTAAAATCATGACTTCTATGGGGCATCAAAATTTGAACTTTTCAGTTGCTGGTCTTATGCTCATTCGTTTGGTTGAATGCACACACAACAATGAACACACTCTGCTCCTAGGATATCGAATTCTTACAATGAATATATCAACTATTTTTGAGTATGGATATAGATATTTATTAACTAGTTTAAGAACTATCTTTGTCTGTCTTACAAAATTGGCCCCACATATACCCATAAATATTGCTCCCTCCTAACAAAATTATTAACTTCTCATTGTAGCCCTAGTAGCATTTATCGTAGTCTTCATAATCCAGATTGGGGGTGATGCATTCCTATCATAGACGTAGGGCTGCATGGGGCTATATTTAATTAGTCTTATGGTTAAGTATTTTTCACGTTTTGTTTCGCCCGTTAGGGCCATATAGTGTGGACTATAAAGGTTGATTTACTGTAATGGTGGTTATGCAATTCTGTGACATTTCTCTGATAACTTCAAGATTTTGAAATCTTTTATAATTCATCATTTAGGTGGCGATTGCACATAAGAAAGGCATTATCTCCCAAGCAAAAGGTTACGTCCACTTCTGTTAATGATGCTGAAAATGAGGTTAAGCAAGATGAAGATGATAAATTACTAAATGAGATGGAGGAGCTGACATATGCTATGGAACGGAAGAAGAAAAGGGAAAAGAAGCTTCTTGCAAAAAGGAAAGCTAAGGTTTGTCATCTTGCAGAGTTCTCTTTCTATTACCTGCTCTCTTTGGGTTAAGGCTTATAGACAATTATGTATGGTCGTCCTTTACATAAGAATTGTTCAATTGATTTCAATTTGATGCTTGTTTTCTTTTGGAAATTTTGACTGCTGATTAGTATTTTTGCACTTAGGAATTGTACTATTTACTATATTATATGGAAAATGAATTAGGGCATGTCTCCTTACAGTATGGGTGTCTAATATTAGATTTCTACAACTGTCTACTATGTGCTATGCTTTGACTTGAAAAGGGAAGTGCATATTCTTGTAAGTGGTAACCTTCCCGTTGACTTGTGATATCCCACATTGGTTGGGGAGGAGAACGAAATATTATTTATAAGGGTGTGGAAACCTCTAACACGTTTTAAAAATCTTGAGGGGATGCCCGAAAGGGAAATCCCAAAGAGGACAATATCTGCTAATGGTGGACTTGAACTGTTACATGACTTGACCACAAATTGTGTAGGTTTCATCTTTTATCGAATAGCAGGATAGAATTAAAGTACAGGTTGGTCAATCTAATATGTTATGGAATCTTTTTCTTCACCGAATAAAAATACTGAATATGACCGTGCCATCCCTAATCATTTAATATTTGATCGAGTGGCTATTTTTCTATTTCATAAAGGACAAAGCTAGGAAAGCGTTGGGGATGCAACTAGATGTCATGGAAGATGGTTATATTGATCACGAGTTATTCTCTCTTTCTAACATCAAGGTATACTTTCACTCCCTGCTAATCTGTTGTTTTCTTTCAACATTGCAAG